CCCCAAAGCCCCAAAACCCCAAAACCCCAAAACCCCATAAACTACTAATAAAATGGAAATATTACTTTCTTAAATAGTGAAATATGACTGTATCAAACAAAGTTATGTTGACTTGAGTGATCCTTATTGTGATTTTTGCAGCAGGTAAGTACATAAAGGAGTATGGGTATGATTGATCTCGCAATTTCTGTCTGCTCAAGTTTATACTTGCTAGAAACATGATATTAACCGTATTTAAGATGAGAAGCGTCAGATAACCAATGTATCGATGCAATCTTATCAACACCTGCTGCTATTGCAACGATGTTAATGGCTTCAGGCAAGAATCTTAACGACTTTGGAGATCCAACGGCTTGAGATTTGAACCCTCTTACAGATTACGCAATGATTTCTATTGAAGGAGTGCCTATGTTTATTGGTCTCTGTTTACCATCAATCTGTCAAAGTTCAGATTTGAAAATTGTTTCAGATGCTGTAACCACTCTTGCTCAAAATATGGGCATTGAAGAAGGAGAAGGAATGGTTCACTTTCCAAACAAGGAAAAATACTCAGTATCAGGTTGGCACATCTTCGGGTTCATTGCCTTCGGATTCTTCAGCTTGCTCTTTATTGTTGGACTCTTTGTTGAATATACTTCTCTCTTTGGGCAAGTTCCACCCCAAGAAGAGTCTGCATCTGATACTCAAAAAGATAAGGTGCTTGTAAATTCAAAATCTTTTATAGGGAAATTTTTCCTAGCTTTTTCTCCTTCAAGAAATCTCCAGAAAATGTTTTACACTCCTCAAAAAAAAGGTGATTACCTATCAGCCTTGAATGGGATCAGAACGATCAGCATGTTTTTCGTAATTTTAGGACACACGAACTCTGGTCTCTTACAGGGCGGAGTGATTAACGCTCAGGAGGCATTAACGATGAAGGACTCCTGGTGGGCAATCTTTATTGGTACAGGCCTTTACTCTGTAGATACATTCTTCTTTATCTCAGCTTTTCTTGCGACCTACTTGATGCTGACGAAGTTCCATGGATGTAAGATCTTCAATATTCCAATGGTGTACCTTCACAGAGTGATTAGAGTAGTTCCAACTATTCTGCTCCTATTCGCTCTATTCTTTACCTTCTTTGGATTCCTTGGCTCTGGGCCTCTCTGGAAGCCATATGTTGATAACGAGATTATACAGTGCAAAGCAGGGTGGTGGCCAATCGTCCTGTTTGTGCATTCTTGGCACTTTACTGGGGCATGCTTTGTCCAACTGTGGTATCTATCAAACGAGATGACTTACTTCCTATTTGTTCCAATCATAGTGTTAGCTTATCTAAATTCAAAATTGATTGGATACAGTATAGTTGCGTTTTTCAATGTGATTTCCATAATCTTACCATTTATTTTCTCCCACATCAGAGGGCATTCGATTACAATTCTAAAAGACCCTGCAGGGGATTACGTCCTAGAGATTTACAATTATCCATGGACGAGGAGTGGAGCTTACTTTGTTGGAATCTTATTCGGAATTTTGTACTTTGAATATACTAAATCATCCTCAAATCCCTTCTATCGGATCTCATTGGGAGCAAGGTTTTATAATTCCTTTAAGAAGAATACTTTTTTGTGCTATATAAGTTTCTTTTTATCCTCAATAGTGATGTTATTCTTCATCATCTTCCCAAGAATTGAACTTCACGATCTCAATGAGAGAAAGCTCAGTCAGATTCCAAGTGATTTCTTCAATGCCTTTCACAGATCAACTTTTGTTGCAGCACTTGGGTTCTTCCTTTCTCCTATTTTTGTTGGAAGACTCAGCCTTATCAAAAACATCTTCGGAACAAGACTCTGGGCACCCTGGGCGAAGGTAACCTTTGTTGCATATCTGATTCATGTGCATATCTTAGGTTGGTTCTTTATGCAATCGAAGGGGTCGAGGTATTTTGATGGGCCATCAATAATATTTTACGCACTACCTACTTTCCTGGTTTGTTTAATAGTCGGAATCCCAATTGCTCTGATCATCGAGTCACCAGTATTGCAAATTGAAAGATTAGTGCTCTTTCCACCAAGGCAGAAGCCTGAGTACACAGTTGCTCAAAAGCATTTGATTGATAAAGTTACTATTAACTCTAAAGAAAGCTCTGAGATGACCAAAGATGACATAAAATTCTTGAAATAAACTCTGGTCTAAGATCAACACTTGGATATTTGCTTGGGGTTTTGGGGTTTTGGGGTTTTGGGG